AAAAAATAATATTTTATTATTTTTTAATATATCTCATATACATATTAAAATATCTTATTTTTGTTTAAAAGAGATTGTTATTAACTTATTTATGTTGTTGGCATCTATAATTTTTTTTAATTTTTTTAAATAAGATAATTACATTATAACTTTATATTTAGGAGACGAAAATTAATATTAACAGTCGAACTCAACGACAGAATTAAGGTCTCACACCACTGAGTGTTTATCACTTACCACTAACGTAGTTGGCATATTTTAATTTATGATTCTCCAAAGTTGTTAGGGTGGATTAGGCAATCATTGGTTGGAAATGGATATTTAACTTACCAAGTTTGGATCGAGCAAGTACGTGGAGAAGAATTATTGGAAACAATATTTGTTATATATGTATAGATGAAAATATTTATGTAAAAATCATTTCAAAATACTGTTTTTGTGCATATTTAATCACTTATAAACATTAGCCGAGATGAAAAAATTAACTTGATAAAAACATGATTAATAAATTTTCATGTACATTTCTAATTTTATTAAGAGCATTTTTCTTTTCTTTCTCAACTCTAAACTGATATTTTAATTGCAGAATAAACCGACTTCATAAGCATTTTTTTCACCATATGGTTGCTTTTTTTCTTTTTTTCCTCTACAAGCTTGGTCCGTAGACATGTAATATGTTCAAAAGAAAACAATTCTTTCCCCAAATATATGATTGAGTTTAGCGCAACCTAAGGGTTCTTCAGTTAAAAACAATCATGTTTTACAATAGTTTTTATTATGATGATTTATATTAAAAATAATATTCATGACACTTTTTATTATGATAATTTATATTAAAGAAAGATATCGCAATTTTTTTTCTAAAGTTTCAAAAAAGAAATTTGAATCACTTTAACCATTTTTGAAGTTAATATTGTTGTGGATCGAAAGCTAAGCTGGGTATATGCTTAGAATGGTTGTGTTGGGGGGGTTTCCAATGTAAAATGATTTTCGTATAATTTGATATATTATTAAAATTATTAATTTTTTAAATTTATATAAAATTTATGATATTAAATATATTTACTCATTTAATAATATATAAAAATTATATAAAAAAATAAAATAAAAAATTATTTTTATAATATAATTTTTTTTTAAAAATTTTTTTTTAAAAATAATGATTAAAGGTGTTAATGTATATGAAAGATATTAAATTTAAAATATGAGATACAAGCCACACGACTTACTTCAAAATACAAGTGATCGTTACGCCATCACACATGGAATGCTGTAATACAATCTTATGACAATTAATATTGGAGTACTACAAGTACTGTAGAAAACACTGTTGCACGTGTAAGAGCGGGCTTCAAGCTTAATGAACCATTATAATGGATTTATTGTTTCGATTTTAAGAAAGGAAACTCTGACTCTCTCTCCAATCAAAGCCGACGCCTAAAATAAATAAAATACCCACCACTAATTAACAGGCAGGTGGCTTCAACAGTTTAACATAATCGAACACAGCTCTGCATCACATGCGCTGCGGCCGCGTCTTTTCTTTATTCTTCTTTACTAATGTTGAAATTAATTTCCCTTTTAAAAGATTTTTAGGGTCTACCCTCATATAAGGCTAGTATATTTAATATATTTTTAAATTTTTATTAGATAATAAAAAATAATTTTTTTATTTTATTTATATATTATATTATTTAAAATTAAGATTTTTTATTTTTTAAAAAATTATTACGTTAATAAAAATTTAATCTTTTTAAGTGGTGGTACAAGACATTTTTTTTACTTAGGAGTTAGGACCATTAAATTCATTTGGTGACGCAAATTAAAGGGAGTTTTTCATTGCTGTCGATAATTAACAGTGATACTACATGAATACAATGTGGTAGAATATCTTCATGTATAATGAGTTTATATATTTTTTTTAATTTCGATTATCGGGGGTAGTTTTAAGTTATTTTTGTGCACTTTAAGGTAAATTTTTTAACGTAATTTTAAAAACATAATTACTATATTAGTTTGATGTATTTAAAAAAATTAATTTTTTTAAATATTAATATCAAAACTTAAATCTTAAAATTAACTTATAATGAGTTTATTATGATGTATTTTTTATCATTAACTTTTTTTTAATCTAAAGTTCATAAAGTGAATGAGTAAGTATTTATTAATTTAATATTATTATTGTCACAGTATTATACTATTATATACAAATTATTATTAACCCTCTTGCTCTCTCTTGCTTTTTCTTTAGCTTTAGTTGCGGTCGACTCTTTCTTATTTGGATGTTAGGAAAAATGATGAGTGAAATTTCCTCTATACTTTTTTGAAGGTTTCCCTATCCTTTGTCTTTTTCTTTTTAGTCTTTGTCTAAACTTTTTCGAAGGGTTTCATTGAACTTTGCCCCTGTAAAGAAGAGGTAACACAAACGTGGGGTTAGCTAGGAACGGATTAGTTGCAACAACTTCAGTTGTTGACAAAATGGCGGAGGAAGAGGTTATGGTTGATTCTTTCGTTCTAAAAACTGAGTATCAAATGCGATTTCTTAGACATTCACAGCAGACAGTGAAATTAACTGCATCAAAACTCATAAGAGAGGAAATTCTTTGAGTGTATGTTTCTCTCAACACATAATGAAGTCATTCTCTTGACTTTGTTTGCTCTTGCATAATGATTAATTAGGTAATATTTTTTTTTAATAAATTCGTACGGTGTCAGATTTGAATCGTTATCTTGGGATGAAAAAATGTATTTATACGTGACCTGACGTCACTAAACTTGAAGGTCCAAGTGCAGATAATATTTAATAATTAATAACTCTTTATATTTAATTATCTATATATAATAACATATGTGTTATTCTTTGTCTATATGTAGCAACTGCTTTTTTTTTTTTTTTGAACATATTTTGTAAGAAGCGGGTTTCGAACCCAGCGT